ACTCAGTGGAATATATCAGTAACTCAGTGGAATATATCAGTAACTGAGTGGAATATATCAGTAACTGAGTGAAGTATCACAATAATTGAGTAAAATACATCAGTAACTGAGTAAAATAAATTAGTAACTGAGTAGAATATATCAGTACCTGCGTGGAATATATTAGTAACTGAATGAAATATCACAATAACTCAGTGGAATATATCAGTAACTGAGTGGAATATATTAGTAACTGAGTAAAATATATCAGTAACTGAGTAAAATGAATCACTAACTGAGTGGAATATATCGGTAACTGAGTGGAATATATCAGTAACTGAGTGAAATATATCAATAACTGAGTGGAATATATCAGTAACTGAGTGAAATATATCAGTAACTGAGTAAAATATATCAGTAACTGAGTGATATATATCAGTAACCAAGTAAAATATATCAGTAACTGAGCGAAATATATCAGTAACTGAGTGGAATATATCAGTAACTGAGCGAAATATCACAATAAGTCAGTGAAATATGTCAGTAACTGAGTTGAATATATCGGTAACTAAGTGGAATATATCAGTAACTGAGTGGAATATATTGGTAACTGAGTGGAATATCTCGGTAACTCAATAAAATATATCAGTAACTGAGTGAAATATATCAGTAACTGAGTGGAATATATCAGTAACTGAATGGAATATATCGGTAACTCAGTGGAATATATCAGTAACTGAGCGGAATATATTCGTAACTGAGTCAAGTATCAAAATAATTGAGTAAAATATATCAGTAACTGAGTGGAATATATCAGTAACTGAGTGGAGTATATCAGTAACTGAGTGGAATATATCGGTAACCGAGTGGAATACATCAGTGACTCAGTGGACTATATCAGTAACTGATTAAAATATATCGGTAACTGAGTGGAATATATCAGTAACTGAGTAAAATATATCAGTAACTGAGCAAAATATATCAGTAACTTAGTGGAATATATCAGTAACTGAGTGGAATATATCAGTAACCGAGTGGAATATATCAGTAACCGAGTACAATATATCAGTAACTGAGTGGAATATATAAGTAACTGAGTAAAATATATCAGTAACTGAGTAAAATGAATCACTAACTGAGTGGAATATATCAGTAACTGAGTGGAATATATTGGTAACTAGTTAAGTATCACAATAATTGAGTAAAATATATCAGTAACTCAGTGGAATATATCAGTAACTGAGTGGAATATATTAGTAACTGAGTAAAATATATCAGTAACTGAGTAAAATGAATCACTAACTGAGTGGAATATATCAGTAACTGAGTGGAATATATCGGTAACCGAGTGGAATATATCAGTAGCTGAGTGGAATATATCAGTAACTGAGTGAAATATATCAATAACTGAGTGGAATATATCAGTAACTGAGTGAAATATATCAGTAACTGAGTAAAATATATCAGTAACTGAGTGATATATATCAGTAACCAAGTAAAATATATCAGTAACTGAGCGAAATATATCAGTAACTGAGTAAAATATATCAGTAACTGAGCGAAATATCACAATAAGTCAGTGAAATATGTCAGTAACTGAGTGGAATATATCGGTAACTGAGTGGAATATATTGGTAACTGAGTGGAATATCTCGGTAACTCAGTAAAATATATCAGTAACTGAGTGAAATATATCAGTAACCAAGTAAAATATATCAGTAACTGAGCGAAATATATCAGTAACTGAGTAAAATATATCAGTAACTGAGTGATATATATCAGTAACCAAGTAAAATATATCAGTAACTGAGCGAAATATATCAGTAACTGAGTGAAATATATCAGTAACTGAGTAAAATATATCAGTAACTGAGCGAAATATATCAGTAACTGAGTGGAATATATCAGTAACTGAGCGAAATATCACAATAAGTCAGTGAAATATGTCAGTAACTAAGTGGAATATATCGGTAACTGAGTGGAATATATTGGTAACTGAGTGGAATATCTCGGTAACTCAGTAAAATATATCAGTAACTGAGTGAAATATATCAGTAACTGAATGGAATATATCAGTAACTCAGTGGAATATATCAGTAACTGAGTGGAATATATTCGTAACTGAGTCAAGTATCAAAATAATTGAGTAAAATATATCAGTAACTGAGTGGAATATATCAGTAACTGAGTGGAGTATATCAGTAACTGAGTGGAATATATCAGTAACTGAGTGGAGTATATCAGTAACTGAGTGGAATATATCAGTAACTGAGTGGAGTATATCAGTAACTGAGTGGAATATATCGGTAACCGAGTGGAATACATCAGTGACTCAGTGGACTATATCAGTAACTGATTAAAATATATCGGTAACTGAGTGGAATATATCAGTAACTGAGTAAAATATATCAGTAACTGAGTAAAATATATCAGTAACTTAGTGGAATATATCAGTAACTGAGTGGAATATATCAGTAACCGAGTGGAATATATCAGTAACTTAGTGGAATATATCAGTAACTGAGTGGAATATATCAGTAACCGAGTGGAGTATATCAGTAACTGAGTGGAATATATCAGTAACTGAGTGGAGTATATCAGTAACTGAGTGGAATATATCAGTAACTGAGTGGAGTATATCAGTAACTGAGTGGAATATATCGGTAACCGAGTGGAATACATCAGTGACTCAGTGGACTATATCAGTAACTGATTAAAATATATCGGTAACTGAGTGGAATATATCAGTAACTGAGTAAAATATATCAGTAACTGAGTGGAATATATCGGTAACCGAGTGGAATACATCAGTGACTCAGTGGACTATATCAGTAACTGATTAAAATATATCAGTAACTTAGTGGAATATATCAGTAACTGAGTGGAATATATCAGTAACCGAGTGGAATATATCAGTAACCGAGTACAATATATCAGTAACTGAGTGGAATATATAAGTAACTGAGTGGAATATATTGGTAACTAGTTAAGTATCACAATAATTGAGTAAAATATATCAGTAACTTAGTGGAATATATCAGTAACTTAGTCGAGTATATCAGTAACTAAGTGAAATATATCAGTAACTGAGTGGAATATGTCAGTAACTGAGTGGAATATATCAGTAACTGAGTGGAGTATATCAGTAGCTGAGTAAAATATATATGTAACTTAGTGGAATATATCAGCAACTGAGCAAAATATATCAGTAACTGAGTGGAGTATATCGGTAACTGACTTGAATATATCGGTAACTGAGTGGAGTATATCAGTAACTGAGTGGAATATATCAGTAACTGAGTAGAGTATATCGATAACTGAGTGGAGTATATCAATAACAGTGAAATATATCGGTAACTGAATGGAGTATATCGGTAACTGAGTGGAGTATAGCAATAACTGAGTGGAATATATTGGTAGCTGAGTGGAATATATCAGTAACTGAGTGGAACATATCGGTTACTGAGTGAAATATAACAATAACTGAGTTGTTATTAATCACAATTTGCCAGTGTTTTAACAGAATATCCAGTTGTAAACTATAAATAAGCTTTAAATGACCTGACAATTTAAAAAAAAAAAACAGGCACATAAGCCACAGCAGCTTGAAGTAAAGTCTGACAGTGGTGCTAACATTAGCATATCCAGATAATTACTCTTTGTCTCTATCGGCTAATTTGATCCATATATTGTTGTTTGGCATCCCCCTGGACGCATCATTTTCTTTAAGCTCTTGAACTGTGTATGTGTGCACGCATTTGTAGCAAACAAAGAGCAGACCTTGCTAATATGGCAGAACGATCATGACGTTAATCCTTGAGCCGCATTGTGTTAGAAAATGAACCTAATTTCCACTGTGTTCTGTTCTTTTATAACCAAAAAATATATTAAAAATTTCCTTCATGGAGCTCAAGTAGCATCCCTGCTTGTATTAGCTTAGCTCGTATTAGCCAGCACTGATATGATGAAACCATTGACCTTCTCTTGTGGGATTGCATGCACTGCAGAGCTGTCTGGAATGATTTTTACATTTTTTTAGATGGAAAGTGACTTTACTGTAGTTTCCCTGAGATTATTTATTTGTTTGTTTGTTTGTTTGTTTGTTTAGGTGTATCCGCTACAGAAGATTTGAACTTTCCTAGATAACGAGCATATATCCCTCGGACCATCTAGACTACTGTCCTACATACTAAGGTCTAACAAGTTTTTAATCTTCTCAAACAGATTTTAAATGCATGTAGCATTTTGTTTTGGAAAATTAACAAGGACAAATATCATGGAGGAAAAAAAATTAATGATTTTATTAAAAATGCTGTCACTGTGCTAAATTTTGAATATGAGAAAAAATCTTTAAAAAATGTAAAATTATTTACTACATTAATTTACAAAGGACTACAAAAAGTATTAATGGAGGAAATAGAAGTAAATTGGCCTGTGAGTGAAAAATGAGCACTGAAAAGTGGCATTTTGTCAAAATTCCATATACAAAAACATACATTTTCTTTCTTTTTTACCTTCACGGGTCTGACGCTTCTTTTTGCTAGTTGCCAATAATCTAGGCCCATTAATGGAATGCTCTGCCTGTTTTGTAATTATTTTTTTTACCTAGTTATTTACTTATTTAAGTATTTACATAGTTATTTGATCTACGTGTGTTTGCTTAATACTTGTTTGCTCTTCAATGTTTTATTGGCCATAATTATAATTGTTTTATTGTTTAAATTTGTAAAACCCAATAAATATAAAAAGAAGACATTTTCAAAAAGAATCGCCATTTTATCCTGCTGAAAAAAGGACCATTAGAAACCATTCGGCTCAAAACCTAATGGTTTTGCTTTCTAATCGGTATTGGCTAAACTGTGAATCCCCTGCACTGTTTAATAAAGCATAAAAATGACCTCTTCACCTGTAGTTTCTTTGGCTTTAAACTTGGTATAACCAAACTAAACCCCCCGGCGTCGGTGCAGTGGTACAGTCCAGGCTGCTTCAGCACTCAGCCTCTCTGAAGCGCTCAGAGCTGAGCAGCTGGAGTTTGGAGAGGCTGTTTAATAAACCTCATCCTGGTACCAAATGGCTCTGAATACGATGCTTCTGCTGTTCTTCAGCACGGCGAGCACAGGTAGGGGCTGTTTCTGATGATTTTCTGTGTTAAAGTCAGGATTAGAACACGTTTAGGGTCAATATTGGGATCAATATCGAGGTTCTGTGGGAATTTGATCAGTGCGTTCGCACAGCGGCTCGTGCACCGATGATGAGCCAACCTGTAGCAGGTGTGGTGGGGCTGCAAAAATCAATAATAACGATATAAAACTGTTTTACGGTGTTAACATCGGTTCTCTGAGAGGTGGTGGAGTTTCTGCTGAAGAACGTCAGGTGGCACTTTTACCTTTTAGATCAACTATGGCTTTAAGGCTGGAAAAACTTCTGTGCGTTTTTTGGCGTCATTAAGCGCTTAATCATCATTCTGTGTGCAAGTAAGAATGTTTTTTCCGGATTGTTTACCAGTCTTTTTTCAGTCAGATGAAATGCCAGCAATGGATGGAGAAGGTGTTGAGAACTTTACAAAGCTCATTCTCCAGCTTCTTCTTCGAATTCGCCGTTCCACCTTAAATGGAATGTAACTGCCGCACCATTTAAGGTGGAACGGTGAATTTGAACAAGAAGCCAATTTCAGCCTCATGAGAACTTTATTGTTGAATTAACATCTCCTGTATTGCATACATGTCACATTACACGACTGTGGAATTGGAAAACGTGTGGATAGACTGACCAAATTGGCTTTTTAGTAGCCTAATTGAGCCATTTTAAGTGGTTGGAGAGCAGAAATTAATAGCCTGTTGTACCTATTTACTGTCTGTACATTACAGTACATTGCATTTTGTTGAAAATGAACTAAATTCTTAGTATCTGAGGATTTTTAAGCGATTTTATGTGCTTTACATCAATTTATATTGCTTCAAAGAGTGAATATATACAGAATTATGTTATTTACACTTCTCTCCATCTTTAGTTGTAGGATTTGGAATAGACCCTGATTTGCAGATCGACATCATCGCTGAACTGGACTTGGCAAATGCCACTTATGGACTAAGACAGACCACAGGCCTACACAACAACAGCAAAGCCTTCATTTTTCGAGGTAAAACCAAGCTGTAATACTTTCCTTCAGATATCTGCTAGATCTTTTCATTGGACGAGGCTGTCATTATCTGATTTTTGCCTTGATTTGTCAGGTTTTACATGGAAAATAAACGCAGAACTATTAAAGAATTCGTCAAACTCACTTACATGAGCTGAGCTGTTTCTGCTGTGGCAAAACGAATAGGGATTTGTTGAGTCTGCTTAGTGGAAATGCATGCAAATCAGCAAAATGACGGCTTTAGAATGTGAAACGTGGCCCATGCTCGGGGACTTTGTGCGCTTCCTCGGTTGCATGGTGGTGTGAAAGTTTCCTGTGGTGCAGCGTGGCAATGCATCCACATGGTTGTAATACAAACCACCCAGAGGTGGCATGATCACACCATCTGCCGGGTGCTAAGCCACTATGGCTTGTGGGTGCAGTGTCTGATCGTCTTATCACTTCTAATTGGTATCCACCAACATCTGTTCATGTCGCCCTATCTGTGATGCAGAATGTATGATCAGATTTATCTTGTTTTTGGTGAAGCCTTCTAAAACAGCCATGTCTAGCAGGGATTGTTGGTGCTGTGCTTTAAGTTGGAACGAGCGATGTGAAGATGTTAATGCCAGTTGCCTACTGTAAGAGAGAGCAGCAAGAGGATTTAAAATAATCGTCATGCACATTGCCAGGTAATCATTGCTGATTAATCAGGAAATTAAATTGTCATTTTTTTCTTATGGTTCTTATGTTTATATTAGAATCACAATTTGGATAGCAAGTTTTAAAACCCAAGAGCTGCAGTTTTAATTCTAGCCTGTAGGGGTTGCATAGACTAGTCCAATTGACTAGTTCACTAATAAATCCACTAGTCGATGACCGTAACAATAATACTAATAATTCATGCACATGACAATCCAGTACCGAAGTGGATGTACTTACTTTGCATGCACATTGGTGTACACAAATGCCGCAGCCGTTATGTGTTCCATTTAAAGATGTATTCCAGCATATTACACTGTGCGTTTCTTCTGTACTACAAAAACTAAGCAATACAGAATATAGCTAGTGCAGATGCATCACGCTGCAATAATACTGCGTGTAGATATGTTATTTTACGCTATGCAATCACGTTATTCTACTGTTTATAAAAACAAAAAGGAGACGTTATTTATTTTTTTAACTCTTTGTTTCCAGTGGTCATAATTTTAACACTATACAGTTTGGTCAGTACGGGGAGCACTGCTCAACCTCAAACTCCACCCACGAGCAGAGTGCTGAATGCTGTCGATTTATTAGAAACACCTGCATGAATTAGGGCGTACTTTGTGTAAATGCGGTGCTGCTAGCTTGGCGCTTGATTTTTGAAGCTGATTAGGCTTGTTTTATGCGAAAGTTTCACTAATTGGAGTAGAGTAGAAGAGTAGGTCAAGCGTCCGTCAAATCTACTTGGCAATTAAGGGCTGTTGTGATGTATATTGTGTAGTTAGGCTACCACAGTTATTGCCTAATCACCTAATCACAATTCTTTGAGATGATCTCAGTGATTAAAGATGATGGGAATCATATTGCTGATTCATTAGATTTCGCAATCTTATTATGCCACAACAAGCAGAATGTGAAGTGGGTGTGTCGGGTTGAGGCAAATAAATGTGAGTTCATTGTGACATGTAATTGGTGTTGTGAAGAGAGGTTTAAACTCCTAACTTGCTAACACGTTTAGAGGGCATCGCTGAGTGATGTTTGGTTTTTTTCTTCATTTATTTGTTAGCTATGTAGCTAATTCAAATGTTTTTAGAATGTAGGCTAGCAGAATTTATTTTTTTGCTTATATTTTCACTGTCAAGAAAGTGACACCTGTAGTGTGAAAATGCCTTCAAGTATTGTGGTGATATTTTTTGCCATCCTCAGTTTTAGAGGTCATCTAGACTCCTCTTCATTCAGTCTGATCACCATTTCTCATATCTCCACATAGCTGTTTTTCTCCTTGAAGCAAGAACAGGTGCAGAGAATTTGACCTTTTTAAGTCAGATTTGGACTATGTTGAAATAATGATGCAGCAAATGATCCCATTCTGTTTAAACACAGAAATGTGACCCAATAAGAAGGCAAAAAATCAGATTTGGGATAGTACAGAGGTCATGCAGAAGTTCAGAGGTTCAGACTCAGTTGGATGTACTGCACTCTGATGGTAGAGATGACTTTCATTATTCACTCTTTAATGAACTCTCTTCACTGTAATGTGAAAACACTCAATGTGACATTATGGTAACTTGTTGATGCATCATCAGCTCTACTTTGGATAAGCACTCAAATTTATGTGGATTCTTTACACAGTAATGGCTTTATTGTAACTGTAGTGTATATTAGTCACACTGACATGGTAAAAATGCTTTAGGTTTTGTTCACAGTCTGGTAAATCAGTATATCTGGGTCAAATATCCATCTGAGGATATTCCAGACTGGATTTACCCCATTGAAAGTATTTGCAATACTTGGATATGGTAGGTAGTTCTTTATTTTCACAGTTTTTGACTTAAAAGAGCGTTCCGTGGCTAAATTTGAAGACATTTTGTGAATATTAGTTGGCTGAACCAAGCTAGCAGTGAATCAGCAGTTGTGTGACTTGATGCATTTGAGCTAACAAAGTTAACGTCAGCCTAGAATGTGAAATGTGAGTAAAACAAAAGGTTAAAGTGGACAGTTCTCAGATTATAGCAGTTCTTTAGTAAGTGTGAAGCCAATTTGAAGGAATTTAGCCAACATTAATAAGTCTTTATGGCCAGCCAAATACAGCTGGCAGTAAATTGGCAGTCATGTGCAGTTATGCCTTTGAGATAAGAAGGATAATGTCACTTTTGTTTGTCACATCTCACGTACTAAGGTTAAAATAAGCAAATCTCAGACCAGAGCAGGGTAGCCAATTTGAACAAATTTAGCCAACATTAATTAGGCCCTCTGTAACTGGCCACATTAAGCTAACAGCGAATTAGTAACGGTGTTGATGCCTGTAGTATTGGGTAGGTATTGTCATCCTTGTCACAAACAAAGGTTACACAGGACAACTGTCAAACTAGAAATGCTCCCAGTTTAAATATGAAGCCATCTTTAAGGAACTGTAATTAGGCTCTCATTGCTAGCCAAATGAAACAAGCAGCCATTTAGATAAAGTGTGGCTTGATGCCTTTAAGATGAAGTTAACATCACTCTAGTTTCTGAGAACTGCCAAAAAGAGCAGGTCCAGTTCTTCAATAAAAGCAAAGCCAACTTTAAGAGATTTAGCCAACATTAATTTGGCACTCTGTTGGTAGACAAACAAAGCTAACAGTAAATTAGCAAAAAAAAAAATATGTGAAATATGACAAAAGAAGGTTTAAGTGATTCTAACCTGGAACTGTTACTAGTTTCTCAATAAGTGTGAAAACTTGAAGGAACTTGGCCAACATCAATTAGGCTTTCCATTGCTAGCTTAACTCTACTAACAGTAATTTAGACATTGTGTGACTTGATGCCTTTAGAATAGAAAAATTAATGTCACTCTACTTTGTGAGGTTTGACAAAAATATATGTTAAAGTTGACAATTGTCAACCAGAGCAGGGTTCAGTTCCTCAGTAAAAGTAAACATTGATTTAGTCACTCCCTGCTGAAGGACATCATAGAAGTCATGGTTCCTAGTGGTGTTTAATCGTCAGTAATGGTGTTCTGAGCTCTCCTGATGAGTTGATATCACAATATAGAAGATTTTAATGGTTCATCAGGTGTTCTAGGACTGATTACAGATGCAAATTTGGTTCCTCAAGGTTTCTTCAGTAAAGGAAATGGTTCTGTATAGAACCATGAACACTCAAAGAACCCTTTTCATAGTTACAGAAGAACCCTTTTGGGTGCTATATAACCTTTTCAAAAAGTTTATCTAATATGTAATATATATATTATACATACATACATACATATATATGTGTGTGTGTGTGTATGTATGAGAGAGAGAGAGAGAGAACCATCTGTAGCACATTCATGCACATTTTCCACCAATATGAATAATGCAAAGGGTTCTTTGAGTGTTTGGTTCTATATAGAACCATTTCCTTTACTAAAGAACCCTTGAAACACCATCTTTTTAAAACATGTAGTGGTCTGTAATGGCAACAATTTAAGCCAATTCTCATTAGAAAGCAAAAAATCATCAGGTTTGAATCCCAATGGTTCTAATGGTTCTTTTTTTTTCTAGCTGTGGATCAGCAATGTGGTTTGACGTCTTTGCTTTTATATCTTTCAAAATAACGTTCTTTTCCCAAAGGTAAAAGAGAACATTTCAAGTGCGCTCTTAGCAAAAAAGATTCTATATAGTACCAAAAACTGTTCTTTGCCATGTAATAATAGTGGAACTCTTTTTGGTGCTGTTTAGAACCATTTTCAAAAAGGTTCTATATAGAACCATCTATAGCATATTCTGCGTCCATCTGAAGAACCATTTTATGATGCAAAGACCCCTTAAATCATGCAAAGGGTTCTGTGACAGTTCATGGTTCTATATAGATTCTTTTTTTCCTTGACTAAAGAACTATTAAAGAACCATCTTTAAGAGTGTAGAACAGCTCTTAAATTCTCATTAAGTGTGAAACCAATTTGAAGGAGTTTAGGCAACATTAATTTAGCACTATTGAGCCAAACTCAGCTAGCTGTGAATTAGCAGTCATGTGCTGTCCTGCCTTTGGGATAAGGACATTAATTTCACTCTAATGTGTGAGAGGCGACACAAAACAAAGGTTAAAGTGGACAATTCTCAATCCAGAGCAGGGACTGGTCCCTCAATATCATGATTACAATTAACTTCATGTCAATAGGGAAGCTTAATCGTCCAGCAAAGTCTGATTTGTGATTCGACTTGTTTTGGAGGAATGTGGTCCTTATGAATGTACTCATCTGTCACTTTAGAGTTTTAATCAAGAAACACCTCAGCTGAATTAAGGAAATTGATTAGCTTTATCCATCTGAGCAAATTCAATCAGGTAAACTTTCA